TAAAAAAAAAAAAAAAAAAGGAAGAAAGGAAAGAAAAAAAGAGATGGCTCAGAAGTTAAGAACAGTGTTCTTGCAGAGGACCTGGGTTTGCTTCCCAGCATTCATACAGTGGTTCACAACCATCCATTAACTCCAGTTACGATTCCAGTTATAGGGGATCTAATTTCTTTTCCTGAGCTCTGAGGGTACTAGACACACATGCCGTACACATGCAGACAGGCAAAACACTTATACAATAGAATAAATTTTAAAAAATGTAAATGTTTGGGGGCTGGAGAGATGGCTCAGAGGTTAAGGACACTGACTGTTCTTCCAGAGGTCCTGAGTTCAATTCCCAGCAACCACATGGTGGCTAACAACCATCTACAATGAGATCTGGTGCCCTGTATTGTACACATAATAAATAAAATCTTTTAAAAGAAAAAGTAAATGTTTGCACATAAAAACAATTCAAAGGGGGGCTGGAGAGATGGCTCAGCAGTTAAGAGCATTGCCTGCTCTTTCAAAGGTCCTGAGTTCAATTCCCAGCAACCACATGGTGGCTCACAACCATCTGAAATGAGATCTGATGCCCTCTTCTGGCCTGCAGGCACACACAGACAGAATATTGTATTCATAATAAATAAATAAATATTAAAAAACAAACAAAAAAAAAACAATTCAAAGGTAACTAGGGGCTAAGAAGAGCATAGTGCCGAAAGGAGTCACAGGATATGACCATCTGTGGGTCCATGAGGAGAGGAAGAATCTGCAGCGCTCCAGGAAGAGAAACCTCAAAGCTTTTACAAAGCTCCAGCACTAACAGAAAGTCTGTTTACACTAAAAGGCCCACCTCAGGCCCTTCCTAACTGCCATGCAGCTGACACCCAGAATTTCTGGCCCTGGAAGATCAAATCTGAAAGCCAAAGAGGATTCCCTAAGTACTTTAAGAAAATAGCAAACTGCAAGCATGTTCAATGACCAACACTGCTTTGATAAGGGAGCCAATTAACTCTAAGGATTTGTATTTATCACCTGACCTTTCCATTGTTATTTTCGGGTTCAAACTTAGGATTTCTCAAATGCTAGACGTATTCTGCCACTGAGTTATATCCCAGCCAAATGTTTACTTTTTTTTTTAAAGTAGAGATTTGTATAGCTTATACTGGACTCAAACCTAGCGTGCAGTCCATGATGACCTTGAATTTCTGATCTTCCTGCCTCGATCTGCCCAGTGCTAAGGTTACAGGTATACACCACCACATCTAGTTGTATTTGGAGCTAGGGACTCAAACCAGGATCACTTGTATACTAAGCAAGTACTCTACCAACTCACTCAACTGAGTTATATCCCTAGCCTTCAATCAACCTTAAAGAAGGACATACTGGGGCTGGACGGTAGTGGCCCATGCCTTTAATCCCAGCACTCAGGCTCTTGCAGGTTAGATGCAACTCCAGGAGGCAGAGACAGGCGGATCTCTGTGAGTGTGAGGCCGGCCTGATCTACAAGAGCTACTAGTTCCAGGATAGCTAGGGCTGTTACACAGAGAAACCCTGTCTTGAAAAACAGAAACAAACAAACAAAAACACAAAAAATCAAACAAACAAAAAGATAAAGACATACTGAGGGCAGAGGAGACATCTTTCCCCATTACCCATGAAGATGTCTAGTTCACATCAGAATGGATTTGAGAGTAAAAAGACTGGCTTGGCTACAGTTACCAATGGACACAGACATGCAATTAACCTGTTTGGGACTCCATTCTCCTACAGACTGGGGCAGTTAGACGAGCTGAGCTCTGACCTACCAGGATTCTGATGGAGACTGTAAGGAGACATGAAATGCAGGAGGGAGTAGGTCTTTGTGGCTGATCCCTACAACCAAAGCTATGCCAGCAAGCCCTGATGTAGATCTGATGGGGACTCTCACTGAACATGCATAGCTCAGCTTGTTCCCAGCATGTGAAAAGGACACACACCACAACAGCAGCACTACAAGTACAGCCTGACTCGATTCAATGAGCAATAATGACTGTAATTAGGTACGAATGTGTTGGAGAGCACAGCGCAGAGAGCAGGTTCCCATTTGCTCGCCTTTAGGAGGCAGCCACGTCCTTCCACACAGAAAAATTGGATAAACAAGGCCGAGTGCAGCAGCGCCTTTGTTTCTGCTGATGGGAATTGATACTGACACTGGAAGTCAAATGGAAGCAAGGACCTGCTCCGTGGGCTGAAGGCTGTAAAGCTGGAGCAGGGAGGCTGAAGAAGGCTCAGAAGAATGACTGAGCTGTCCCAGTCAGGGCTCTTGCAGGTTAGATGCAACTCCAGAAGGTGAAACAAGTGGTCTATAAGTAAGATGGCCAGAAATGAAACGTGTGTGTGTGTGCGTGTGAAGAGAGCAAAAGAGGAAAATACACTTTACACATTCAAGGCTCTTGTGTCAAAAAAAATTTCAAGCTTCTGTTATTCTATGGACCTAAAGACTTAATTCTATTTACCTAACTCATTAAGTTTTAAAACTACTTAGCAGCCATGGTTATTTTCGATTAGTATTTATCCTAATAAGACCATTATAAAGACTATTTCAATGACATCATATCTGAGAAAAACAGATCATTAAAATGGCAAAGTCTTCTCACAGGACAAAATGAAAGAAAAGATGAGCTAGTGGTCTTGCCCTCAATGTGTGATGTAAGCTGCCAGAAGACTTAAGCACACTATAATCAAAAAAGGGCCGGGTGGTGGTGGCACAAGCCTTTAATCCCAACACTCACTCAGGAGGAGAGGCAGGTGGATCTCTGTGAGTTCGAGGCCAATCTAGTCTACAGAGTGAGCTCTAGGTCAGCCAGAGCTGCTACAGAGAAACCCTGTCTCAAAAAATATTAAAAAAAAAAAAAAACGGGGGGCGGGGGGAGCACACATCAGAAAAGCATCTTTTCAGGGTGAGAACAAAATCCCCCCCTGTGAGGGGAAGTTCTGAGGAGGAGGCACATAATAGTGGTGGTCCAACCTTCTACACTTTAACTGGGAGAAGATCCTCATTGATACTCAGGAACCAGTGGCTGGCTGAAGAGGAATGGGCAGCCAGCACTTAAACCACCACACCAATGGGCTGGCAGCACTATTTTCTGGAAGACCATCTTTGAATGCGAAGAGCTCCATCAACATGTAATTCTCAAAACCTAGGCAAGCACATTCCTCTACAAAAACCAGAGTCCCAGGAAAAAGCTGGGATTCCCTTTTCACGGAGAACGTGTGTTAAGCCCCACCCTGCCACTGGAATAGGGGGCGTCAACAAAGAAAAAGGCAGGGTCACACAGAACTAACATCTGAGTCCAGAAGGAGAACTATCAAAATGTTACAGCGACAGTCTCATTTCTAACTCGAGGGGAATGTCAGCCTGAAGAGAGCTGGGGAAACTGGAGTGGGCAGAGCAGAAAGAAAGATAATAGTGCTGGGAGGAGGGGCGGTTCAAAGAGGCATCAGGATAAAGCCAAAAGCAAGTTAGAAAAAAAAAAAAAAAAAGCCCCAAGAGAAGGCACTTAGCTTAATGGAAGTGGGAAAGCATTTTCGAAGAAAGGAGCTTCCAAGCAGCGGGGGAGAAGCAGCTTAACCTTAAGGGGAGGCTCTTGGGATGACGGGAACTCAGCCCACCACAAAGACAGATGAGAAGCTGTGAAAGTCCCCCAGAACAGTTCCCAAACCTTTACTTGGTCATCCAGAACCCAAAAGCTTTGACTAAACAGCCGAACACTTCAGTTTTTTTTTTTACCC